GGTAAGTGCCAATGAGGCAAGCAGTTCATGGCATATAAATCACAGGAGCAATATCTTACGTCACTATAGTTGTCATCTAAGAAAGGTGTTTTGTATATACTAATATACAAAATACTAGAGATAGTATTCACGAATGAGTCCTGCCAGCACAAAGATTCCCTCCTGTGCAATGGAACTCCCCTCCCCCGCATGCCCTGCTCCCTCTAAACATCACCAGGTGGCTGAGGGAACCCCTAGAACAGATTTAAGGGTACGTGGGGGGAGAAGGAGAAGAGGAGAACATCCCATTGTGCAGGCAGAAATCCGTGTGCTGGTGGAATCATTGCCTTACCACTGGTATTGAATTCCAACCTAGGAGTTCCACTCTCCAGTCATCAAAAGCCACCTTGAAGGTCTCTGGAATGAAAAGTGGGATTAAAACATTGCAAATGAATAAGACATTCAGTGGAGAGTTGAATTTCTAAGTAAATTATTAAATACCCATTCTCTCCTGGCTGATCAAGCAACACAGTTTCTCGGTAGCCCAGCTGTTTTTGTATTCAGCAGGGGGCACTATTGTAATTTGTACCTGAAATATATGCTCCTTTATCAGATACATGTGAGAATCAACAGCGGGCCATGTATGAGAGAACTTCTGTTCTCTAGCGTCAGGAGATAAAGACCAGGTGGTATAGAGGATGTGAGATAGCATGTGTGCTATGAGCTATGGAAGAACCTTTGGACTTGTAAAGCTACTCTCGTACCTGAGGCAAGTGCCTCCGATTTATATTTCCAGGACAAGAAAATGCAAATGTTAGCACCATCACTAAAATCAAGTGGAGTTTAGTTCTTTAGATCTAAACTTTTGCATTGGTTGCATTTTAAAAGCTTTAAGGAAAAGAAAGTATTTTAAGAAGATGTTATTAAAAAGTTTAAAAATAATACTCAGCAAGTTTTATAAATTAGAGGCATAGTTGTTTCTGTGCCGAACTACTCATTTGTGTGCTTTCAGAGTATGCCAATCTGCTAGCTAGAATGAACAATTTAAATTTCTTTCTCGTGCTGGTGTTCATCACATCTTAATGATGTGTTAATGCAATTCTGTAACATTTGCAGTAACATTGTTTAGTAAATCTGCACCACTAATGTATCAATATATTGCAATAGAAATAAAATCCTTCTCTCTGTGTGTATTTAATGAAGATTGAAGCCAGCATTTAATATGTTTATTCCCGTAATGCAAAAGATTGGATTACAAAAACACCTATTCTTCATTTACACTCTTAGTGCCACTGTTTCTATAAATCTTGGAGTTTGCAGAGAAAGCAATTATGTCTGAATCCATTTCTGGCCTGATTTGTGCACAATGTTAAATCATAGTTAAAAGTAAATTGGGGTTTAATGTGAATGAACAGCGTGCTGATGAAAGCTGGAAGGGAAAAAAACCAAAGGCTGGTTTAGCATTATATGTGAACTGTTGCTTGAATTCTGTTTCTCTTCAAACAAACCACAAGCAAAAATTCAAGATTTGTTCTTTGTCTTACCACTTGGTTTACTTGGGGAAAAGAGGCCACATCTGCTATTGGTAAGCCAACCTCTGGTTTGCTGCCTCCTGGCTTTGGAAAGAGCAAGTTCAACAGATAAACCACAGAACCTAGGACTTGCCAATCAGAAGGTCGGAAGTTCGAATCCCCGTGACAGGGTGAGCTCCCGTTGCTCGGTCCCTGCTCCTGCCAACCTAGCAGTTCGAAAGCACGTCAAAGCGCAAGTAGATAAATAGGTACTGCTCCGGCAGGAAGGTAAACGGCGTTTCCGTGTGCTTCTCTGGTTCGCCAGAAGCGGCTTTGTCATGCTGGCCACATGACCGGGAAGCATGTACGCCGGCTCACTCGGCCAATAAAGCGAGATGAGCGCCGCAACCCCAGAGTCGGCCACGACTGGACCTAATGGTCAGGGGTCCCTTTACCTTTACCTTTACCGGAATAAACTATGATTGAAAATTGTGTGCAAACCATCATCATCATCAACCTTTTATTCGACTGTCAGTCAGAAAAAAGTACATTTGTCAATACACAGTTAAAACTTCCAGGAAGATTTTAGAACTTAGCCAACACTAAAATGGGCTAAACAGATAGCCCCATATGTGTGCAAACTGGACCACAAGAAACAAAAGTCTGCCTTTTACTTTCTTTCTCCCCTCTGATTTTTTCCTAGCAAGCCTCCTTAAATGTGTTTTCAGGCCATGAGTGATGGGGTCATTTACTAAAAGATGACTCAGTGTGATAAAACAATTATGAAAATGTTTTCACAAGGTTGTCTTTGAGCCAGCCCTTGAGTACAAAGTATTATATCTATCTCAGGTTCTGACACTGGTTAATGTCAATGATGTGTCTATGTCACAGATAGCCAAACTATGGCTTACCGAGGCCACACAAACATGCAGAGTCCCGTAGAAGCTTTTACAGCTAAATGACTCCACTCTGCTCTCTCTCTTTTACATTCGTACCACACAAACAAACTGCAGCTCATTATTAGCTGTGGTTCAAAGATACACTAAGCCAGACCTTCATTTACCGTAGTTCATGGTAGCGCAGGAGTAAAGAAGAATGCAGAGGAGCAAAGTGAATGCAGGCTGCTTGTCAGGAGTCCACATTTTCATGCGGTCCTGGTAAGCCATAGTTTGGCCTACCATAATGTGTGAACCAGGCCATTGTGTACTTATATATGACAAAGGAGGAACAACTTCTTTCTGTCCAAATTCTCCAGATGTCGTGGACTGGCTGGATGCCATGGAGTGGTGGGAGGCACCAGCTAGGAAACCCATAGGGGAAGAAGGCTGGGGGCCAGGGGACTGGTGGTGGGATGATGATGAGTAATCAGAAGGAGCAGGAGCAGACTGTGAGGAAGAGGTGTTGGAAGCAGGAGAGGTAATAGGGTTGGGTGATCAGGAAGAAGCGGGATTCAGAGGCTAGAGAGGAGGAGGGCAGAGATGAGGCCAGCTGCCGAAGAGTCCAGGGAGTCTCCCTCTCCTCTTGCGACCAGCTCCCCCCCCCCCCCCGGTCTCCCAGAACATGCAGAGGAATGAAAAGAGCAGAGGAGAGATTGGTTGTGTGCAGCCACAGTCTCTGATTGCTTGGGAGGAAAACCTTGGAATAAAGCATTAACTTCACTGACAGTGTTTTTTATTGCTGACCTACACCTGACTCCGGCTCCTGATATCACATTATGAATAATTCGATAAATCTTTGGAAATATGGGGCATAAATGTATTAAATAAACTAAACTTGTCTATTTGATTCCTCTTAGTTTAAGAGTGTGCTCCCCTTCGCAAATGTATTCAGCGTAAGTCATGAATATTGCGCAGCTCAGTTCTACTTCTGTAGGCTGTGCAAATGCGATTTACCCCCCTCTTCACTGGAGTTCCCATTGAACTTTGCATCCAAGCTGCTTTTTATGGAGGGAGAAAACTGATATTTAAAACAGCTTTTGACTTCTAGCCATGTTGAAGTTTGCTTTATCTTTTTAAATGGTGCAGGCGGTCCAAATTTTTTTTCATTTGTCTGTGGGAGAACAGAGAAGCCAGTGCAGTGTTTATGCTCTCTGTTGAATTTAAGGGACAATACTTCAGAGAGCTGTATTAATCCACAACTCATTGAAGCATACTAAAATGAAATATCCCCTCGAGGAATTCTCTGCTCAAAAGAAAGCCAATGTAAATTGATTTCTTCTCAAACACAGAATTTCAAAGCAATGTTTTAACATGTATTATTAAATATGGATTTATTATATCTGAAATAACTGCATACAAGATAGCATTGCTCGAATGTATAAAACTGTTACCACAAATAAGATCATTTTACAATATTGGCAAAGTACACAGCAAACAGCTGCTACTGTTAATTACCTTTATTTTGTCTGTGAGTCCTGGAAGATCTGCTTCTTGCCTTGCAGGCCTCTTCCACCTGGCTTGGGAGGGTAGGACCCTGACTGACACCAGATGTTTTGGGACTACAATTCCCATCATCCCTGACCACTGAGAATATGAGAATGGGCCTTTCCTGTGGTGGCTCCCTGTTTGTGGAATGCTCTCCCCAGGGAGGCTTTCCTGGGGCCTTCATTACATATCTTTAGGTGCCAAGTGAAAACATTTCTCTGTAATCAAGTTATTGTGGGAGTGGGTGTTACTAGTTTGTTTTTGTTTTATTATGTATTTTGTGTTTTTATGTTGCAAATCACCCTATGATCTTCAGGTACACAAATTTAATAATTAAATAATAAACCTTACAAAAGTTGGTCATTGTAATTATAATTTGCATTTTAGTCTGAGACACTAGACCACTGAATACATGGAAGGAACGTATGTTTGTGGGGAGGCAGCAGGATCCTGGCTTCATTCCCCACCCGGATGTATGCATGTTAGTTCTGAAAGTCTGCATAGACCTTGTCCATATGAATGAACATAGGGGCTCCTGCTACAATCCTGGTCCTTACCCTCACATACATTACTTGAATGCCTGAAGAAACTACTATTGATCATTGGCCATATTGCTTCCAGTGTTGCTGCTGCGGCTGCTTCTATGTATTGAAATAATCATGCAAGCTTGATGTGTTTTATATGATATTTCAATAGCCGATTAACTTTTAGTTGTTTTCTATAATGGCCGTTAACTATGTGGGTGTTTACAGATAGATAAACAGATAGACAAATAGATATACTTTTGCCATGGCTTTGAAAAGGACAAATCTAACATGATATGGACTGCATGCTATTCTTCCAATGTTCTTATTAAAGAAATCAGGCTGAAATATACATGGGCATTATACCATGTTTTCCATCCTCTGTCACATTTTATTAAACTGCAAATGTTTTTATATCTCAGTTACACTGGTTTGACTGATAAATAGAAATAGATAAAATATTTATATAGATTAAAAAACCCCCAACCCTACTCCCTTTCTGCTGCCTGAACTACATTCAGAATTTAACCTATATAATTTGATTTTGACTTTGTCTATTTTAGCCAAATGCAGTAAGAGGTGCTGAACATGCCTCGCAGTCCAACGTCAAGTGAAGATGAGATGGCTCAGAGTTTTTCAGACTATTCAGTGGAATCTGAATCAGACAGCTCCAAAGAAGAAACCATTTACGATACTATCAGGGCTACCGCAGAGAAGCCAAGTAGCAGAATGGAAGACTCCAAGAGCAATACATTAGTGATGCGGATTATAATACCTGACCTACAGCAGACGGTAAGGTGAACTCCATTAAAAAGTTTATTGACCAAGGCCATACATCAGATTTGAGCTGAAGTAGTCAATTAAACTATGTCAGAGTCTGGTCAGGATGTTTAATGATTAAAGCATGTAGATAGTAGTTCTGTCATGTAGAATCATAGAAGCATAAACTGAAGCTATAGGGTATGGCAATAATTTTAGAGCAGTTTTGTTTTCTACATTAACTAAGATGGAATGCGTAATGTACCTTGTGCATGTTACTTTGGTAAGTAGACTGAAAATCATTACGGCATGCATTCTTTCATTTGCTCATTCATATCTGGCAAGAAGAGGCTATCTAGAATACAGGGAGTTAAATTCTCACCTTTTGTGGATGTTTCTATGCATATTCCCTCTGTTCATGTACATGTTTTTCCAATATGTTTTCAAAGGGATTGAGATGTAGATTTTGAACTCTTTAAAAATCCTAAATGAAAGGGTTCTATGTTCTGATTCTTTAATCTCTATTTCTCAGAAGTACTCCTTAGCCACTGGAATTCAATAAAAATTAACAAAAATGAAATGAGGAATGTGGTTTTCTTACTCCTAAGTGATGGGTAGTGCAAGAACCATCTGGTGAGATGGAAGGGTACTTTGGGCTGACAGGAAATATGTGTATGTCCTCATTAATTTTCTATTTTAGTCACAGATTTAGTGCTGCAAGAATCATTACTTTAATTGATTATGGTATTTTAAAAAGTAAATAAAATAAAATAATTATGTATATCAGAAATAAGTTAGGAAAAAGATTAGGACAACACAGTGGAATCTCGGGTTACGGAGGGGATCTGTTCCGGAGGCCCCGCCGCAACCCAAAAACGATGCATCGCATCTGTGCATGTGCAATTTAGTATGATTTAGCTCTTCTGCGCGTGCGCGAACGGTGCAAACCTGGAAGTAACCCGTTCTGGTACTTCTTGGTTTGCGCCTGTCTCAAGCCGAGGGTGACATAAACCAGAGGCAACGTAACCTGAGGCTCCACTGTAGTGACATTTGGTTTTATTCAATACAGGCATGGTTGGGGACTTGAAACTAAATTCACAGTAAACTGGGGGATAAATGGAGGGCACAATTAAGTGTTTTTTAGTCTTATTGATTTCAGAGAGGGAGATTTGGGCATGTGTATAACTCTCCCATTGAAACCAGTGAGATGCCAAAGTGCACAGGGTAGCGGGACTACAAAATCCCAACATCATTTTAATCTCTTATGTTCACCTTATCAGTTTTAGCCTTGACTATTTGCCAGGAGTTAATTATTGCCTTTACCTGGAACTGTGACCTTTGCTAGATCACCATTAATTCTCTGGAAACAATTTTCCGGTTGCCTACATTTGCATTTTACAACTATCTGGTAGATGTGACACATTATAATATCGTCTGCTATTGCACCACATTGTTTCATTATTTTTCCCTTTTTTGACTAAAACGGTTAGTCTGGCAAAATATACTGTAAATTATGTTGATGTAGACAGAATGAGTGCTCTCTTCTAGCTAAAAGCAGTGTCTTATCTCTTAGGTGGCATTCAGTGCTGCAGAATCTGAGAGTCAAATTAGATATGACAGATATGGGTGGGTTTTGTTTTTTTTTTAACATTAAAAGGTGCACATAGGTGTAGGGAGCTAAATCCTTCTCCTGCCTTGCCTCCTACTAGTAGTACATTTTTCCGCTTTTCCCAGATTTGAAGTAATTGACTGTGGACAGGTAGCTGGGAAAGCAGTGTCTTCATCTCTGCACCCCTTTTAATGTAAAAAAATTGGATCCTCATATGCTTTATATGTGAATGAGGCAAACACATGAATAAACAATTGTGGTTGCTTTTTTCCACATCTAGTTTGATGCTGAGAGTTCAGTGTTTGCCCCAGAGACATAGGGGTGTTCCAGGTTCCGGCCTGAGACAGGGGATGTGTTGCTTTTTCCTGCTGTCTGTAGAGCAGTACCATCTGGCATGTTGTGTCTGTTTTCTTTCCCATACATTGATGATGTGGCTGGACAAGAGAGTGAAAAGAAGAGAATCGGTCCACAGCCATTTCACTGCAGGGTGAATAGAAAGCAATGTGGTTTTTAATTTTTTTTAATTTAAATCGATTTTTTAAAATTTAAATTGGATTTTTAAAATAAAATGTTTCTAGGGGAAAATCTTTCTAAAGATAGTTTTCTCTTTAAGTTACATTATAGTCCAAAGGCTATTCATCAGGAAATAAGGATTTGTTTTAAGTTTTTCATGTGTGCTAAAACTCAATCTAAGTTTTTTTTTAAATTGTTTAACCACATCAGTTAACAAATATAGATATATATGCTATAATGTTATTGTTTTAGTTAAATAAATTGTTTAAATTGTTATTAAGGAAATGATTGTTTTTCTCCTTCCAATAAAGCACAGCAGAAAAGTTGTCCAAATATAAACAGTTAACTTTTAAACCTCACAATAATTTCATAATTATCGGTCTATGTATTTCTAATAGTATAACCAAATCAGTAATTTTTGATATAACTGTAAAAACTGCTCTGAAAATTTATTATTCCAAAAATGAAACCTTCCTCTAGTTGTAAATATTAAGATGACACCAGCAAGAATAAGTTTTTCTGTTAAAAAAAAAGATTTAAATCAAATCTTATTGACTAGTGATTTAAATTGATTTGATTTAAATCAAATCCCCCCTGTTTCACTGGTTATTCCATTTAATGGGAATCAAATGGCTCTGACTTGTTAGATCATGTAGAAGTAATATCTGGTGACCTCCCTTGCTGAGGAGCAGGAGTCGGTGGCATGGCAATGCTGTACCATTATCTTCCTGACAGGGATGGTGCAGGCTGGGATGGATTTAGGACTGTGTAAGTCGTGTGCCAAAACTGCAGGAGGCAGTAGAAGACAGGAGTGCCTGGCGTGCTCTGGTCCATGGGGTCACGAAGCGTCGGACACGACTAAACGACTAAACAACAACAAAAGTGGTGTGCAGGGACATGGGTGGCGCTGTGGGTTAAACCACAGAGCCTAGGACTTGCTGATCAGAAGGTCGGCGGTTCAAATCCCCGCAACGGGGTGAGCTCCCATTGCTCAGTCCCTGCTCCTGCCCACCTAGCAGTTCAAAAGCACGTCAAAGTAGATAAATAGGTACCGCTCTGGCGGGAAGGTAAATGGCATTTCCGTGCACTGCTCTGGTTCGCCAGAAGCAGCTTAGTCATGCTGGCCACATGACCCAGAAGCTGTACACCAGCTCCCTCGGCCAATAAAGCGAGATGAGCGCTGCAACCCCCGAGTCGGTCACGACTGGACCTAACGGTCAGGGGTCCCTTTACCTTTACCTTTACAGATGTGCATGCACCAAGAGCTGAGCTGATGGGGTGCCGTCTCAAAACCTAGCGTGGCTTTGGACAGGAGGCACAAGAGCTCTGGCAGTTCCTAGAGTCTTCCTTCCCAAGCCCTGCCTTTGGGATGACAGCACGAGTGGGGTGGGGTGCCAAATTTTGGGCTTGCACAAGATGCTGTAGTGCTCAAATCTGCCACTGATGCAGGGACACAGCAGTGGTAAGGTAGAGGCTGAATGGGTGCAGTGGTGAAGCCAATCCCTTTCAGCTGCCAGTGTGCCTGCAAAGCCCCCCACTGCCCAGTTAGGCACCAGTGACCCTGCTGTTGGCAGGACTGCAGTGTGACCCTGCCCTGCCCCTGCCCCCCAGTTGCTCCTGATGTAAAATTTTCAACTGTAAGCAGTTACTTCCTTTGGTAGTAGTCCTGGTGGGACAAAAGGAATATGATGCACAGGGCTCCTAGTTTATCAGTGCTTTTCAAATATACTGGGAATTGAATGGGCAAGGCTTCCAGTGCTTCAGGCTGGCATTGCACATTCCATGCAGCTCAAGATCCTGGTCTGCTACTGCATAGTAGGGCCCCTTCACCAACACTATCATCTTCCATTCAGAGATACAGATACTTGGCAGCTTTTGTGTGCAGCCTGTTCCAGTTCGGAGGCCAGCTGTCATGCTGCAACCCAAGCTGGGTGGGGGAGGAAGCTGGTCCCCATTATTGCAGAAGCTATGGAGCAGTTATAGTTGAGAACAGCACATCCTGAAATGGAGCTGATGGCCACTGGTCCCTGGGGTGCTACAGGCTTACTTGCTCTAAGCCTCTCCTTTGACCACTTTGTATAGTCATGATTTGTGAACTTATATCTTAATAACAAGTTTGATATTTAATCCAGCTTTAACAGAGTAGGCCCACTGAAATTAAGGGGCTTAATTTAGGCATGTTCAGAGTCTACTCTGAGTAAAACTTAGTTGGATGTCACCCCAATAGTTTAGCCAGTCATTCTACAAATCTTCAGCTGAAGTCCATGGCAGATTTTACAACAGTTGATGTAGATGCAGTCTCTTACTACTTGAGGAAAGCCTGATAAGTTGTACTTAACCTTTAAAAAGACTGCATGTTTTCTAAGCAGCATGTTATAATTCAACTTGCACTGCTCTCTAAATTACAATGATTATATCTGAGCAGCCATCACACTGGAAAGTTAGTAGCCACACAGTTTCCATACCACAGTTGTTCTTCAAGCAAGACGATTCAGATACAGACGTACCTCGGGTTACATACACTTCAGGTTACATACGCTTTAGGTTAGAGATTCCGCTAACCCAGAAATAGTGCTTGAGGTTAAGAACTTTGCTTCAGGATGAGAACACAAATCGTGCTCTGGCGGCGCGGTGGCAGCAGGAGGCCCCATTAGCTAAAGTGGTGCTTCAGGTTAAGAACAGTTTCAGGTTAAGTACGGATCTCTGGAACGAATTAAGTACTTAACCTGAGGTACCACTGTAACACAATTGTTATTCTTCTTGTTAATATTACTGTACTGTGCAACATACTCAAAACACCTAACCACAATTTTGCTGTCCTATCCACTGACAGTGGAATTTCTTTCTCGAGTAGTAATTGACATTGTTTGACTCTCTCTTTTGCCTGCAGACACTGATAGTAGTTCACTGGCCACGTCAAACATTCCCCCCCCCTGTAGTTTAGACACAGCTATTCCATGGAGGGGTTATGTCTGCCAGCAAACATATTCATATATCACTACATTAAATGGACTGCCTGCCTGGAGGTTAATAAGGGCTGTTCAATATGTATGCCAAGGTGAAAATCATATTTGAGGAAGGTAGAAAGCCTAGGCTGGAATCCAAAGTTCCTCTTCCACTTATTATTTTCTTTTTGCTGGTAGTTCCCGCAGGTAAGATAAAAATCAAATCCTCTACCATGTGAGGAAGTGGAACGTGATACACAAGTTTAATGTACAACTAAGTTATATGTATAGCTTGCGTAAAGCTTCCTCATCCTCAGGCAAAACTGCCTAGTCTTTCTACTTCTGTCACAGTTCTGTGGATCCAGCCATATACTGATCCTACTTAAATCAAAACCATTTCCTTTTTCCATGGAATGCCCTTGGAAATGGAAGCAAGAGAATGTCATCATATCACGTCATTTCCCAGGAGTATTTAAGGTTTCTGGTTTTGGTGTGTGGTGCAGCAGTAGGCCAGCAGCAGCAGCAGCAGAGCTGCCAGTTTGCTGATTATGACTGATTGATTTAGAAAGCTACCACCTGCTGGCTAACTTCTCTCACTAGGAACTCCTTCTCTGGGCATCTGATTTACCAGAATTCTACTGGATGTGCAGGGAAAGAGGACAACAGTTCATGCAGTGCTGGAAATATCATAGCGTCCCAAATGAAAGAGTACTTAGACTTCTTACATTGCCAGATTTTGGGTGTAAAATTGATAGTTACATTCACGTAACATGTGGCAAGTATAAAAAAACCTATTAATTGTGATATATATATATATATATATATATATATATATATATAATCTCAGAAAGAGAGGAAGGAATTATGGCAGAAAGTGAGGAGGAATTAAAGAACCTTTTAATGAGGGTGAAAGAGGAGAGTGCAAAATATGGTCTGAAACTCAACAACAAAAACACTAAGATCCATGGCCACTGGGCCCATCACCTCCTGGCAAATAGAAGGGGAAGAAATGGAGGCAGTGAGAGATTTTACTTTCTTGGGCTCCATGATCACTGCAGATGGTGACAGCAGTCACGAAATTAAAAGACGCCTGCTTCTTGGGAGAAAAGCAATGACAAACCTAGACAGCATCTTAAAAAGCAGACATCACCATGCCAACAAAGGTCCGTATAGTTAAAGCTATGGTTTTCCCAGTAGTGATGTATGGAAGTGAGAGTTGGACCATAAAGAAGGCTGATCGCCAAAGAATTGATGCTTTTGAATTATGGTGCTGGAGGAGACTCTTGAGAGTCCCATGGACTGCAAGAAGATCAAACCTCTCCATTCTTAAGGAAATCAGCCCTGAGTGCTCACTGGAAGGACAGATTGTGAAGCTGAGGCTCCAATACTTTGGCCACCTCATGAGAAGAGAAGACTCCCTGGAAATGACCCTGATGTTGGAAAAGATTGAGGGCACAAGGAGAAGGGGATGACAGAGGATAAGATGGCTGGACAGTGTTCTCGAGGCTACCAGCATGAGTTTGACCAAACTGCGGGAGGCAGTGGAAGACAGGAGTGCCTGGCATGCCCTGTCCATGGGGTCACGAAGAGTCGGACACGACTAAACGACTAAAAAACAACATAATTTCAGCAGCAGTTTCCTTAATGGCCTACTGCTATAATTTTTTTAGTATTGATTAACTTGTTTTAATGAACAATTAATTATTAAAATGAATGGGTTGTATCTAACTAAATTATACTCAGAGTAGAACCATTGAAATTACTGAACCTAAGTTAGTCCTGTCCCTTAACTTCAATGGGTCTGCTCTGAGTAGGACTAACAATGGATACAACACCCAGAAACAACAGTTATAAATACAACACCCAAGGATAATTATTATAAATAATGAAAACTAAAAATGAAATATTTTAATTTCCATTGATTTTATTTCAAGTTAATTCCCATTTTATGCTTTAAACTTCACATCTCTCACTATCCATCTATGATGTAAAAACTTGAGGCAGAGTATTTCTACCAATGTCAAAGGCCGTTTCTTATAATTCTGCTACTGAAAGACACTCTGAAACAAATCAATGCAGAGAAGCATTTTGGAGACAGCTTTACATCTGTATTCATGAGCAATCAACTCATTGATAAATGCATTAATGTATGATACGTATTATTGCAGCATCTGCTCAGCTGTATATTTTCCTGCTATATCATTAGCGGTATTTCTTCAATTTTGGTTTGAAAAGTAATTAGCAGAACCTAAAGCACAGCCTAATATCCCTTAAACAGAAATTTGTAAGCACTTATAGTATTCCAAATGGATGACCATAATATATCCAATGCAGCTCATAATGTCATGAGCGTATACTGCAATGTCAATTCAAATTAGCTGCAGTCTCTGTGGGCACACAGGCCTTGTTAGCAGCAGCAGAACAAGGAGGGCTGTATGTAGATGCATACTCAACTATAGCTGGTGGTGCAACTTTTAGTCATGAGCTAGTGCACCTGCGTACTTGCTGCTTGGCAGATTTGGACAATAAGTACAGACTTCCCTTTTCCTTGGCTACCACTCAATCATGGAATCCTGATATTACATACGAACTGCATCATTGTAGTCACCATATCACAGTATTTGTCTAGTTTACATATGGAAATGCTTGTATACTGAAAATGTTCATATATTACCTTTAATAGCATCTAATGTGAATCAGAAACTTTAAATATGATATGTCTAGGTAAAGGAGAAAAATATGAAATATGTCATTATTTATCTCTTGCGGGATGGACAAGATTGTTTGTTTTATATAAAGCATCAGCATTTATATTAAATAATTAAAGAGGTACACACCATATTTAGCAGCCCTGATAATTTATGTGAATTGATTTATGTTTTGTGTGTATTAATTGCCTTTTCTACTTTTTTGTGTTTTTCAGAAGTGTATTAGATTTAATCCTGAAGCTTCTGTATGGGTAGCAAAACAGCGAATTCTTTGCACATTGAATCAAAGTTTGAAAGATGTTCTCAATTATGGCTTGTTTCAGCCTGCGAACAATGGGAGAGATGGGAAATTTTTGGATGAAGAAAGACTTCTTATGGAATATCCACAGCCTGTAAACAAGGGTGTTCCAACCTTAGAGGTATTTTAATGAACAATCATTTATTTAAGGTTTGTGTACCAACAGTATGAAGGTTGTTGTTGATTTTAATTTATTAACTGCCCTTCACCCTAAGGTACTTGTATAATGTATATACAGAAGACTCACATCCTGGTACTCTGAAGCTGTTTTGAGTGGGGAGAGAGAGGATCTGAGAAAAGTTACAATTGAAATAATGGAGCTAATATGATGGGCATTTACATGGAATCATGTCAAGAATGTCTCTTGCTCTTTGGTAATCCTTGACAAAGTGCTCTAAATTTTGCTTCCAGGACAACCACATTTCCCCATGCTGTTAGTGGCAGCATATACTGTGACCATTGACTCCTCCTGAGCCCTACCTAGCAGGCTATCTGTTCTAAACAATGTGCAACATCTTCAGCCTTAGCACCAGGCAGGCAAAATCATTCAGTGTGCCTGCTTGTCACCAACCCAATTTATCGATGCAACTATGATGATATTATGGGACACGGGTGGCGCTGTGGGTTAAACCACAGAGCCTAGGACTTGCCAGTCAGAAGGTCGGTGGTTCGAATCCCTGCAACGGGGTGAGCTCCTGTTGTTCAGTCCCAGCTCCTGCCAACCTAGCAGTTTGAAGGCACAAAGTGCAAGTAGATAAATAAGTACCGCTCCCGCGGGAAGGTAAACGCTGTTTCCGTGTGCAGCTCTGGTTCGCCAGAAGCGGCTTAGTCATGCTGGTCACATGACCCGGAAGCTGTCTGTGGACAAACGCCGGCTCCCTCAGCCAATAAAGCGAAATGAGCGCCGCAACCCCAGAGTCGGTCACGACTGGACCTAATGGTCAGGGGTCCCTTTACCTTAATGATGATATTACACACTACAAGGAGCCTCCTGCTCCCCCAGAAAATTTCTCACTGTGAGAGGGTATCTGTTAGTCTCTCAAGGAGTAGGTCTCTTCTTCCTCAGAGTAACATTGCACTCCCTGAGACCCTGGGAGTGGGATGCTACTATTGCCTCCCTGAAGGCTTCATCCATCAACAACTCTGAACTTCTCCAGGTCAGCCCACTTGGCCAACAGAGGTGAACTAGTCCCCTGAGGTCCAAGAGCTCAGTGTCTAGCAGACGGGATATTTGTGCATTACTTTCTACTTGCATACCTGTCAATATTGAATAGAATTACTTTGGTGCATGGAATTTGTTAGGTCAAAAGGGGGGAAACACAGTCCATGCTGCCCATCTCGCACAGCTGTCAACTCCGTTTGTTACCTTGTGTTTGCTTTGTCAGTGGGACCAAGATGCTTCATCACTTGGATCTCACTTACTTATAGAGCAGCTTCCCTACCAGGTTGCCCTAAATTTGTAGCTCTAGTTAGCTTTCCCCAGCAGAGGCTGCAGCCAGTTGTGGGTCAGGAGGGTCTCACTTGAAAAAAACAAGCAAGAGTTGCTCAGTTACCTTTTGGTAGTGTTGCTTCTAGACACAACTGTCATGGAGTTAATTTGCTAGGGAATGAGGAAGGAATGCCTGGACTAAGTCTTCTTTCCTAAGGGGGAAGAGATGGGAAGAAGAAAGAGAATGGGGCAGCAAGACTATTTTTAAAAGGAAACATTGGCAACACTAACGGTCATTTCTCTCCCTCCAGAATTGAAGTAAATGATTAAGGATGGCAATTTTGCTCATCAACATGTCTAACGATCTTCCTTTTCTTCATCATCTGTGCATAGTAGTTTTTGAATTTCATTTAGTAAACAGAAGTCTATTTTTGACTTTGGTTCCAATGTATAATTACACGTTTTGGGGGAAATTGCAACATGTTGAGAGCATGAACAGCAACTGCTGTATAGTTTAAATGAAGAAATCTGGGGTGGGGGGGAAGTGAGGTTATTTTTAAAAGAAGAATGGTACAAGAATATAGAACTCCACTGCTTTCAAATTTGAGATAGAATTATGTGAGTTGACAGGCCACGCCTCAGGGGACTAGAGCAGGTGTATTCTAAAAAGCATTTCTTTTCTAATCTTTGAATACAAAATGACAAAAATCTTACAATTCCATCTTCTTAAGAAGGAGTTAACTATATTCTCCTATGGACAGGAATTTCAGTTTATTCTGGGTGATCATAAACAATTTGTTTCTTACTGTTGGGCCAGAATGCAACCATCTATTTGCAGCAGCACCCATTTCTTTGTGTCTAGAGTATGGATCTCGTGGAATTCATTCATTGTGAATTATGATCCAGACCGAATTAGAGCATTATCTCCTGGACTAAAGTACAGATTTGAAGACTGTTATCCTTCTGATTTCACACTGAATCTTGCTATGTAGTTTTCAGTTAAAACACATATGCACCAAAGGGTGTGTGTGTGTGTGTGTGTCTATTTTAATGTATGTTTTAGGAGAAAATACGTTAGGAATTTGAATCTTGTGAGAAAAGTTAAAATATGTATTTAGATGCGCATTTTGTGCTGAACCATTTTTTAAAAGCACATATTAATGCAGAAATGGGACAGAACAAATAATGAATGAAAGCACACAAAAGTGATACAGACCTGAAACAGACTTATTTGCTCATCCCTGGTCTAAAGTGATAACACAGGTGAGTTGAGAAAAAAAGGAACAACAGGGAAAGAAACTGAACCCATCTGATCCCAATTTTTGCTGTGCTATTGCTGTGCTGCCCTAAATTTCTGCTTACGGAATATACTCAAACCTTGAAGCTTCATAGTGTTCTTCTTTATGCATAAGAATTCCTCATGAAAAGTGCCATAGTGTATGAAAGCCTAAACATATACCTTTAAAGAAACTCAATAAAATACCGAATTTTTCTGTGTATAAGATGACCCCTATTTTTTGAACCCAGAATTAAGAAATAAACAATTGCAACATTCTGTGTATAAGACGACCCCCAATTTTAAACTTTAAAATTTGGGGGGGAAATATAGTCTTTTACATGGAAAAATACAGTATATAGGGCGCAATCAACTATAGTTGGGCATTTTAAAGGCCTGCTGTTTTTAATGGATGCACATGCACCCATGATATTTGACATTTATAAGTTCAGTTCATGATAAGATATGGTTTGGTGTGATTAATAAATGGACAAATAATGCTTTGTAATCAGCCAGCAAAACAGAATAGGAAATCATGGTTGAAGTAAGTTTCCAAACTATGGTTTGTGTAGACTATGGCTTGTGATATCTGAAGTGTTTCTACAGACAGATGCACATAGAGAAAGGAACTGGAAAAAAATGAAAGCTGACAAGCAGTTCTAAACCATGGTTAATTTGTAAGTACGGAAATATGATTTTGTGTGCTGTCTAAATTAACTCATAAGCATTCTGTTGGTTGTCCCAGTATCTTGAATGTTATGGAAACTGACCCTTCAAAGCATGTTAACATTTACCTGGTTGCTTTTTAAAATCATAGTCACCATAACTATTCTTTTTCTAGAATATTTCTAAAATGAAAAGTAACATTCAAATAATGTTGCCATTTCAGTTTCGGTATAAGAAAAGGGTGTACAGACAATTTAATCTTGATGAAAAGCAGCTAGCCAAGCTCCACACAAAGGTATGTCTAAGTGAAGAACCTCTAATGTGGTAAGAATAAAGACTAGCAGAAAATGTCGTTTAAGGTGTATTTTATCGACTTTTGTTAAAATCCCCTGATAATAGGAACAAGCTAAGGAAATTACAATGCAGATAGCAACCAGGCTGTTAATAAGATCTGACACTGTGCACATTCCCCCCCCCCATTTATTTAGTTGATCTGGTGAAACATTAAGAGGCTAATATCATTAATATATTGAAGGATTGTCGAAGGCTATGAAAGAGCTTTAACACCAGGCCCATGCAGGTGGGTGAGAGGCAGCCAGGTACACTTGGCCTGTGCCCTGGAGGGCTAGGCCAGCCCAGGGGCCCTGCTAGGAACCTGCTGGACTTAACACTGTCAAGCCAAGAACAAGACTCCCATCCCAGGCCTCAGACAAGCTCTAGTTTAACACTATTGCCCTGGGTAGGCATTATTTTAAGCCTGCAGTGCACTGTTGTTGTTGTTGTTTAGTTGTTTAGTCGTGTCCAACTCTTTGTGACCCCCATGGACCAGAGCACGCCAGGCACTTCTGTCTTCCACTGCCTCCCGCAGTTTGGTCAGACTCATGTTTGTGGCTTCGAGAACACTGTCCAACCATCTCGTCCTCTGTCGTCCCCTTCTCCTTGTGCCCTCCATCTTTCCCAACATCAGGGTCTTTTCCAGGGAGTCTTCTCTTCTCTGCAGTGCACTAGCCACCATTTACTAACATGTGTGCACACAAAGATGTATAAATGAGGTAGATTCCTATGCATAGGTGTTTAACGCATATCATCCTGGGCTCCTTTTGGAGGAAGAGTGAGATATAAAATCTAAAAAATAGTAAAATAATAAACCAAAAGTAAATGGGCAGTAAGGTGTGTTTCATATGCATACTTTTATTAATGTTTACACATGATTTTGGATACACACTAGATGACTATTGTTGCTTATAACTAAACTGTATATTTTACAGTAGTAAAACATTTCACATAATGCCATCTTTCAGGCTAATTTTCGAAAATGTATGGACCATGTTCACCACCTGTCTGTTGAAAAACTAACAAAGATGCTGGACCGGGGACTTGATCCTAACTATCATGACTTGGAAAGTGGAGGTATGAAGTAAATAATTCTCACGTTTTAGCAGAAAATACACACATCTTTAGTAAATTGCAAAGAAGAAATGTCTAGTGTATATGAAGTGAGTTGAATTTATATTCTTTATATGACTTAAGAGGAGTTGCATAATTATTTATTTCTTTTCATTCTTTCTCACTTTAGAAACCCCACTGACTTTGGCAGCTCAACTTAGCAATACTGTTGAAGTTATCAAAGCCCTGAAAAATGGAGGAGCTCATTTAGATTTCAGAGCTAAAGATGGCATGACTGCATTACACAAAGCAGCTAGAGCCAAGAACCAACTTACCCTGAAGGTAATTCATGTGTTATGTTCATTATGCATTGTTTTATATAGAAGAGTGTACAAAGGAAAATGCTTGAGTTAATTATCAGCATCCTTAATGGATCTTTTAATCTACATTCACTCAAAGGTTTCTTTTGTTGGCTTCGGACTTCCAAGATTGGCTTTCAACAAAGAATTCATTTTGGTGGAAATAAAAAGGGTGGTGAAACTTTACCTTGTTGCCGGATAGGTAATACCTGTTTGTGCAAAATGGGAATAGAGCTACAGCCATTTATCTGACTTTGGAAGAGAATATCCATTTCAGCGGGTTACTATCTTTTGTAGTGTTTGCCCTTTAAACTTAATGTGCATGGATTTCTTAATTTGTTGGGGTTTCGGCCATGTTGTTCAAACAGCGGAACAGAAGAATAAGCGTCTGTATTTTGAAATTTCCTGATGAGGGACCTACTAGGTCAGAAAGGTGCTAGGTTATACATTTTCGGACATTAACTTATTTAATGCTTTGTTTCATTTAACAACATTTTGCAATAATCAACAAAACTCTAATCCCAAAGTCAATACATTAAATATAGATTGACATAAGAGCAACATTTCTTCTAGAAAAATTCAAAACCTACTTGAATGTGCTGTTGGAAGTAACAATTTTGTTGACAATACTGTTTCTATGGTCACCTGCCATTCTTGGTCACATACAGTATATGATGTTATGTTTTGCCGTTATCACAAAATCCAAAATTTCATTAAAGCTTTGCAAGGAATTCAGTGTTGCACTAAATCAAACATGTCTGCTTGGCTGACAGACTGACCTTCCCTCTCCTCCCCTTCATGATGTTCGGGTTTTTTTTGAACAGTATATGTATGGTGTGTACATAGCCTTATACAGAAATAAGAACCATAGTATCTGCAGATCATCTTTGTTTAGTTATTAGTCTAATTCTTCAAAACCTATCATTACTTACAGACCCTCTTAGAACTTGGAGCATCTCCCAATTATAAAGACAGCTGTGGACTGACACCGTTGTATCACACTGCCGTAGTTGGAGGAGATCCATATTGTTGCGAGCTCTTGCTTCATGAACATGCTACTGTAGGTTGCAAAGATGAAAATGGATGGCAAGAGATTCACCAGGTAGGAAAGATTAACTTTGTTGCATTAAGATAAGTCCAGGTGCACAGTGCAGCGGTGGAGCAAGCCGATTGGGCGCCTGGGGTGACGCGCGTGCCCTCCGCCCAGAGGTGGGGCCAGCCACCCCCCCAGGGCAGGGTAAGCTGGGGCAGGATGCTCCGTGGGGCCTCCAAGGAGTCTGCCTGCCTCCTCCCACTCAGTCGCCCTACAGCTGAGGAGGAGGCAGCGGCCGGACTGTTTGGGGCAGTGCTGAGCCTGCGGGCGCCCAAGCCACCACGTCACTCCCAGGAGAGATGCGTGGCTCTGGCATGCTGCAGGCCCGGTATTTTGTCACTGCCTTCAGGGGTGACACCCGGGATAGCCTGCCTCCACATTCCCCTTCCTCCACCCCTGGCAGAGTGAGATTTATTTTTCTGTAATCTTAAAATATATTAGAAGCATCTCCAACAATCTACACCTAGCACATGGTCGTTCCTTTAGCTTTGTACAGACATTACTCTATTTTGGTAAGCCATTTCAATTAGGGTAGACCTGAGCCTACTTACATCATTGGTAGTAATTTCTGTGGCTGTTGAAAAAAGGTTGCCAGTTTTGGGTGATTTTTGGCACTCAATGTGAATACATTTATGTTCTTTCAATGCTGCCCTTTTGTGTGATATTTCCCTTTCTTTTTTTCTTGATGTCTTCAGCCCCATTTCCCCGACTGTCATTTAATCTTCTTGGCTGTGATAAGCCATGTGATTTTGTTCAGGTAATGATATAATGGATGCTCAAAAATTGGGACACTTACAGTAAAGAAGAAGGAGGGAGATTGTGCCAATAAGAAATAACAGTAGCTAAGAGTACAAAAGAATTCACTTTGGTGAAGTGAAGTTTGTTTGGCTTCATCAAATGTGATCCTTTCAAATCAAATATTGAAATGAATAAAATACATGGTACAACTCTTGTCTGTTTTCTATACTGCCCTATACCTGAAGGTCTCAGGGCGGTTCACATAAAATAATTTAAAATGTTCACATAAAATAAAATAGTTTAAAATGCTTTTCCTTCTTTCAGATTTTTGGTCTACTTTTCTTGATAATTAATTCTGCCACTAGAATGCAAAAAGTTGTCTGAACCTTATCTATGTGGGCAAAATGATGTAGATTATTGATAAGGAATGACATGAGAAAAAACACATTTCTTGACATGCCAGGTGCTGTGATCATTGTATGTGTTGCAGTGGAAATTTGACCCTTTGGATCCTTTGTTTTCAAACCAGTCTCTAAATTTACACTTTATGAGCAGCCAGATAGTACATAAAGCTGTAAGAATCATGGTCTCCCTCACTTTGTAAATGAAGCTCTGAAACAATTGCAATAGAACAGGGTTCAATACAGTATTTAGCAGGCTGAACCATCTGCTCTATCATTAGAATGGTGAAGCTTTCTGGATCTTACTTCATAGCAGTGCTTCTGGTGCCCTCTTGAGCTACTCAGTGGAATGAATAATTCAATATTAATTAGGCAATGCTACAATTTGTTCATCTCCATAGCATCCATAACTCTGTGTGTCTTCACTGCTTTCAGTGCTAGAAATGCTAGTAGTCTGGGAGAGTCATAAGTCTAAATGAGTGCCAAACATATAGTAATTAGTGTTACCAAACTCCAGAGAAGGGATTCATAACAGTTTCACATTCCCATTTCCCCGTTCAAGCTATGCAAAGTAAATGGAAGATGGTTCTGCAGTAGGTGCCAACTAGTATAATCAGCCAGAGCAGCAGATTTACATAATTTTACAACGCTGTTGGGTGGAATGGGGAAATGTGGGTCACTTTGTTGGACTCAAAATGTATTCGCCATCTTCGAACCATATTGTTTATTTGTTTGAATAATTTGCTAGCCACTCTTTAGAAATCATAGCGGGCAATTAAAAATAAAACCACCATAAAAGCAACAGTTCGCCTTCTCCAGCTAAAAGAACTCAACAACAGAAAAGTTTTCATCTAAAACATAACTGCTGTGGATAACAACAGCAGTAGGTGAACTTCTATGAAGGGAGCTCCTGAGGTGAGGTGCCAAAACATAAAGAGTCCTATCTCCAATCCCCACTCCATATTTTACTCCAGGTGGCCTTTGAGGCCAGTTTTGATAGTTGATCAAGTTGGGGTTAGGGAAATGGGACCATATAGTCCCTTTTTTAAATTATGTATTGGACATGGAGGTTGTGTGCTTCAGATAACATGCAATTTGGCCCTTTGGCTTTATGTGGAAGGAGTGTGGCATACTAGTGCATAAACAGCTTTTATGCCTCACTCATCTCTCTTCTGTGTTGTGTGGCTTTGCGAAGGTGTGCATGGTTTTTTCTTTGGTAAGAAGTGGAAAAATTGATGGAGGGGTATTACCTCTGGTGGGAGACATGTTGTGTTTCTTTGAGGGTAGTTTGTCTGCTGATGGGTCTGAAACCCTTGGTGAGTTAGGAACTTGAAGACAGGCTCTGGCAGATTGAGCAGACGAGACCAAGACTGGGCCCAACAGTCAAGAAGGAGGTTTCTGCACAAGCTGTAGAGGGAAGTGAGGGGCAGATGGGGCTAGTTAACTGGGGAAGGTAGCCCATCTAGGAGAAGGAAAACTCTGATCCTAAACCTGCTATATGGGATATCTTCAGGAGAAGAAAAGGCTAAGGAGTAAACCCTACAGAAATCCAGAGTGGAGTCCCTAAGACAGGTGGGGAAACTCCCCTATGAGGAAGGGTCGCAGTCTGTGAAGCTGTGCAGGTCACTGCTGTTCTGTCTTCCAAACACAGCCCATCACTGGCACTTACAGTAGCGGCAAGCCTTGAGTTAGTTTTCTATGTCTTTCTATCTGCACATAGCTTCATTGTGAATTCTTACACTTGCTGAACCTGATATATTAATTCATAATTTCCTTTTCAAAAGGCCCTGTGTGCACCTCAGGGCCTTTGTTTGCACCGGGAATTATCATAAGAAATCAAAAGCAGTCTTTTGTAGTTGTAATCGGAGACAAATCAGGTTGGTTTACATCAAGAATGTGGGCTAATTGAAGAGTACAGGCTTAAGGGGGGGGAGTCATCATTCAGAAGAATGTAATGCTAATTCCATTTGGTCTTATCTGTTGTGGTAGGTGTGGAAATATCTTGGCACAGTGAAGGAGCCTTCAGTCACCACTTGCCTTCTAGAAATTTTTCTAAAAGCACTGTTTATTCTTACCTGTACCTGCAGTTCTACATAGAGACAGGAAGCTTTCCTGTCTCATTTTATATAAAATGGATATAACACAATCGGTCCCACTAGAGGTGTCTGTAGACAATTTTAATTCATGCTAGTTTAATTTGGAGTAGTATTTTAACCTAAGGATTAAGGGTATCATAGGAGAAATTTAGGATAGGCTTTTCTTTGTTTTAAGTGATGGCTTTTTTAAAATTGTGTTTCATCCTTAAAAAAACAACAACAAAAATGCAGGTAATACTTTCCAGAAATGCAAATTTTAGGTAGATGGCATGGCATCTTCAGCAGACCTCCAGCAAATCAGTTTTTAACAGGCTGGAAAATTCTAGCTATAGTCACATCCACACCATACATTTAACACACAGTTAAAGTACATAGCTTCCCACAAAGAATCATGGGAACTGCAGTTTCCCTTCACAATACCTAGCACCTTAAACTGCAGTTTCCAGAGTTCTCAGGGGGAAGTAATATACCTTACATTTGAATTAAATGGATGCTCTGGATATGACCTAGGACATGCAGCATCCTAAAAATGCTATTAAACTTTCCAGAACAGGGGTGGGAAACTGGATCTGAAAGGCAGATAAGATATTTCATCTCCCTGAAGTCAGGTGATTCCCCCCGCCAATGGTTTGAAATCAAACTCTGCAGGCAAATGCTCAGCCTTCGAAATAGCCATTCAGAGTCTTCCTCAAGACCAAATCATCAGCTGACCATCTTGTGGCCTGTTTTCTAATTTTTTGCATAATTTCTCCACATAATCAGTCACTTATATAGCATACATATGCAGTATATGAAAATATGTTTTACTTGCAATAATTTATAACACGCGCAACTTGTACATATTAGTAAAATTTGTTGTCAATGCACGTTTTTGTAGTTTGTATTTGGTTTGTGGTATTTGTAAGGCAAGTCATTTATAATAATTTTTATAATACTTTTAGCTATTTCTCAACATCCCTTAAAAACTGGATTTGTAGTATGATCATTAGTGCCATCTAGTGGCCTTGGCATTTTATTTGGCATGCCCAGGAGTTTTCAGGTTCAGTTTACTAACTTTAAGAATAATTTTGTAGGTATATACAGTGCTTTTCTTCTGGGGGGACGCAGGGGTATGCATAACCCTAAACATTTTGTGAATCTAAGTTTGGCCACATTGAGGGACAGTACTTCAATAGGAGTAGGAAAATGAGAGAACCCCTAAACATTTAATTTTTTTAGAAAAAAGCACTGGGTATATAGTTACTCTTTCTGTATTAAGAGCTCAAATATATGTCTAAAATATTATTATACTGGTAGGAATAACAGTGGGAACACCACCTTTGATTATTAATTTATAAAATTCTGCAAATTGTATACTTGGTTTGGGGGAAAGGTAAAATCTTTTCGCTTCTTTGGCTATGCAGAAAACTTGGAAAAAAGGCTACTGTATGCTAAAAGTCACGGAGGCAAAAAGGCACAAAGATGTCAGATTGTTGTTGTTACAGTTTAGAGTGAGTGATACAGCCTTTTCAGGGCAGCAATTGTAATAACAAACTCTCACTCACCTCGAAAAACCCCTTATACCTCCCTTTGGAGGAAAAGAAGATCCAGTCAGAAGGCAAGCAACAATAAAAAAATATTATCATCTAGAGAAATTCTAAGGGTGTTCCCAGTGGCCTTTCTAACCTCTAAAGAGCTTCTGAACAGTCCTGTAGCAAGGCAGGTAAAAAGCCTCTTGAGAAAGATAGTCTCAGTAAAAAAAAAAAAGGGGGGGGAACGTTCTTCATTATCTCTTGAAAAACAAATAAAGCCCAGTATGTTTAGATCCCCAAACTTGCCAAATAACTTACAAGTAGTTGGTAGAAAATAGAACCCACCTTAAAAATTATTATATAGGAAGGAGTCCCCCAAAGGGCAATAGGTGCAAAACAAATTCAGGACTGGGACGTTGTAGCTGAAGAGGGAAATCCCTGTTTCCAGATCATTTCTTAGTGAGGACGAGAACAGCAAAAGTTTCAGGACTAGCTCAGAACCTTTGGATAGTGAGACATTTGAGGATACACTATCACACAGATCTTTATTTTCTCTTTCTCAAGTTCTTCTGGATGCTTTATTGCTAAGCAGGTTCTCATTAATTGCTCAGTTCACGTGTCACATTAAAGCATAGTTTGAAACAAACAATGGTTAAATGTAAACAAGCTCTGCTCCTTTCCTGCTTCTGCTAGTGTCTTGCCACCAGGAAACAAGGCACTTCCCAGTCCTTCCAGTTGACCAGGAGGGTCTGATGGAGCCTGCTAAGCATGTTAGGCTACATTATCAGGGTTCCTGATTGTGGGGAAGGTTCCAGATTCAGCCTCTTTTAGAGCTTCTCACTCAATGTTGGTGTGGAAAGTGCAGGGACAGAGGCATTGGGGTGTGTGTGTGTGGAGATAGTGCATGTTCTCCCTATAAACTTTATGCCGTTCCCTATTCTTTCAATGACCAGACAGATCTAGAGCCTTTTATATTTTTATACTATTTTAAAGTGCTATACTTAGGGTCAAGCTAACATTTTATTTCAGTGTAACCTAGTCATATTGTAGGATATTAACGTACATTCCCCCCCACCCCCGTATTCTGGCTTGACAATTTTTGGAAAATTAGAGTAAAACTGCTTTATTACAACCTGCTACTTGAAAAGGATCGTGCTATCACAAGCTTCCCTGGTTAGGATCATTATTCTAGAATTTTTTAAAAGCAATTCTATGTTAAAACTGTGTATGGTATTGCTGTTGAAACTCTACTGAAGTAGAGTAGACACCACCAAGCCGTACACAACTTCTAAAAATGTTGTTGGAATGGCAGCGGATGACCACTGCATTTTGGAGTCGCAGCTTACAACACACTTGGTAATACTATACACCTCACTGTATATAGTAATATGTTCTCAAAACTTCAGAATACCTGTATAAGTGAAATGAATTATGTTAAAAATGTAGATCTCATAATTAAAATATCAACCTTTTATGTTCATAGGCTTGTCGATATGGGCACGTCCAGCATTTAGAACATTTTCTGTTTTATGGAGCTGATATGGGAGCACAAAATGCCTCTGGAAACACAGCGTTACATATCTGTGCACTTTACAACCAGGTTAGTTGTTATAGTTGTGTTCTTCTTCTTCTATAACTTACTGAAATGAAGCAGGTAACAGAAATCATTCCTAGATATATTTTTTAAAAAACCTTGCAAGGATCAAAATCCAGTCATTTCCATTCCCTGGTATTAATTATAATTTACATTTTTAATATTCCACTTTTCTTACAGAAAAGCTCAAGGCAGTTATCTTTTTCCCTTTCATCCTCACACTAACCCTGTGAGGTAGGCTAGGCTGAGAGAGCATGACTTGCCCTAGATCATCTAATTAGCTTTATGGCTGAGTGAGGATTTGCACCTGGGTTCCCCTGGTTTAATCCAGCACTCCAACCATTACAGCAAGCTGGCATGGAACAGTATGTATGCCCTTTATGATACTTTGGCTTTAATTCTTTAAAAATTGTAAACTTTTAAGGGCACTGCAGCTATGACTAAACTGGCCTTAACTTGGCCACCCTGGCTTTGTTCCCTGATGCAGCTCACACAACTCTGTAGGCAATTATATAGAACTTCCCCAAAAACAAAATGTAAAAATAAGACATTTATATTCCACCAAATGTCTGTTTCTTTAAATAATGTCTGCAATACCAAAATCATGTTCAAGTGCAATACGGATTGTCCTGAAACCAAAGTTCTGTCCAAATTCAATAAAGAGAAAAGAATTGCCATGGGGGGCAATTTGAGAATGAGTTACACCAAGTTAATGGCCTTTTAGGCTTCCTCCATGTAAATAGGAGTTCATTTTTTGAATAATAAGAATTATATGTCATGGGTGAGGGGAGGGTATCAGGATTTTAGAGATGCTTAGGTGGGGCATGGCCAAAAACACTCCCCAGGAGTGTTGTGGCACTGCTCTCAATCACTCAGCTACCTGGAAGCTACACTGCTGGGATGTTTAGAAGTATCCAGCAAAGTACTTTGGTTAGCATAAGTAATTTTCACTGTGAAATGGAACACCCCATCCTTCAGTTCTGCCCACATACCCCCTAAATTTGTTCTGGGTTTCCCCCCAACCATCTGGAGCAGATTTGGGGAGGAGACGTAGGGAGAGGAGAGGAAGGGGAAGTTCCATTGCGCAAGTGGAAATTATTTTGCTAGCAGACATACTTCATTGGACACCAGCCATAACATCTTTATATTATACATATAATTAACAATGATACAGTATATAATTATATACTGTATACATTATATACATATACATATTATGCTGGCTAACTCACATGGCTCCTGCAATAATATTTCATATATTTTGAAAAGGGAGGTGAAAGTCAGTTATAACTATGCTTTTTCCAAACCATTAACGACTAACAAACTCTTAGGTGGTCAGTGGTGTGTTTAATTCTGTTAAGTTATTTGGTTTGAGTGGTGTCTTATCTGACTTACATAGTTAGAAAATCTTACAATTCCGCCTGTGTAGGATATATTTTTAAACTCTTAATATTTGGAAGTGAGTTTTAATGTGCTGTATTATTCTATGACATCTAAACATAAATATGTACTTCATTTGACACCAGAAAGCATATGTTTGAAGATAACATTTCAGAAGTTCTGGCGGGCTTGTTGCTAGCACCCCTAGGAAGCAAGTCTTTCGTGCTGCTCTGTGAATGGCATCCTTGAGTAATGCATCAGAAATGTAGTTATTTTTGCTTGTCAGTTGTTGGAAGATAAATGGGGGCAGTTGAAAACACAGCCTGGCCAATTCTTCCACTTCTAATTAATATACAGATGCCAAGCACTGTTTTATATAGGATGAACAAGAGGCTTAAATAGATAACAGAAATGGAATACAATTAATGAATTTCACAAATTAAAAGAAGCAGTTTCATACCACTAGTTTTTGCTCTACTCCTCTGGTGCCAGTAGCAGCTTCTGTCCTGGGCCTTGTAGTAGGGTGTGGGGTTTTTTGTTAGTTCTGTGGGTTACGTAAACCCCACTGCAGTTTTTATCTGTGTGGGGGACAGAACAACACCACACAGATGTGAATACATGTCTAACAAAATGTGCATTTGTCCCTTAATGTTGTATATTAAAGTTCCCTGAAGTTTAAGTGCCTTTTCTTCTCTAAGCTGGGATGCACAGTCCTTTGTTTTCAACTATTGAGTGCAATAGTTATCTGAAAAACCTGAACTCTTATTAATATGAATATGTACCTTTATCAAACAACTCCCTCCCCTGGCAGAGGAGGCACACGAAGAAGGGCCTCAGATGATGATCACAGGGTGGACATAGCTGGGCGAGACCAACTCCACCCTACTCAGCCACCCAGGTCTCAGTGATGCAGACCAGATGGGCTTCCTCATCCATAATCAGATCATGGATGAGGGAGGTCTTATTCAGAGCCGACCTGGCATTCAGCAACAGCTGCTGCAGACCCAGTGGCTGGCTGATGGGACAACTGCAACTCCCCAGGTTGGAGGAGGGGCTGGCACATGGAACAGTCATCAGCTGTCTGTATCGTGTGCCCCTTACCTGGCTTGCCCCACCCTACCTCCCCTTATTTTGAACCACTGTGATTGCCCCTCTGCTCTCCTCAGCATCTCTCCTCCCGGACACACCTCCTCTCCCTCACTAAGAACAACGACAACAACAAAACTGCTGGTTTACGCAGTGGTTTTGCTATCTTAGCATCTCTAAACATAAAACTCTGGAAGTAAGAGGGACTTGCAACAGAACTCTAACTGCAGTCCAGAAAGTGGGTCAGTGATCTGTTGCTGCAGATTTTTCTTTGTCTGTGAGAGCAAAGGGATGTACTTTTGTTTTGATGAACCTTTTAAAGTTTTAATGTTACATTTCGTGTTTGCTTTTAGGGCCACATTAGGCATGACACAGGAAAATATGTGATTGGACATTCTGCTGTTTTTATGAAGCTGAATAGTGGCAGCAGTGGGAGTCGATGTGGTTTAATCTGATTGGGACTGTGTCTCTGGGGGAAGGGGATTTAAGTCTCCCCCCATATTGTTATCCTAATGAAAATTCCCCCTTCCTCAATCTGGAGTGGAAACATAAAGCTGCCATTTTTAATTTGGTGCCCTTTACAAATGTCAATAATGCATTTTATAGTAATTAGTGGGAGACAGGTTTTATGGCAGCAGCTGTGCATGCTGACTTAGCAGTGAGTGCTGCAAATACTCACTTTATTTTCTTACATCTCTATCCCACATTTCTCCTGTCACAAAATCCAAGGCAATGTACATGTGATTCCTAGACTTTGTAACTTCAGCAAGGTGACTGTATGACCAGACCTGTGCCATCAGACCATACCCATGGACCATACACAGACCGTGAAGTTTTGTTCAGATTAGTAGCATTCATACAGCTCTGCATGTATTGACTTTTGGCAGATCTCCAAATGGGCTTTTTAAAAAAATGCTTTTCAGCAGTGTGCAGGTGCATTGCAGTGGATCATTTCCCCCTTTGCCTTCCATAGGAAGATATAGACTGTAAGGACCACCTTTCACCATCTCTGAAACTTAGGCTCTCAGTATATCTGTTTGAATGGGAGAACTCTTGGTTTCATGAAGAATATTTTCATGTAGTGTGGAGTCCTTAAAGCAGGCACCCCCAACCTTTGGCCCTCCAGATGTTTTGGACTACAATTCCCATCATCCCTGACCACTGGTTTTATTTGCTAGGGGTCATGGGAGTTGTAGGCCAAAATATCTGGAGGGCCACAGGTTGGGGATGCCTGGCTTAAAGCATCTCTGAACCATAACGAGGCTAAGCTACAATTTATGCACCGCTTGATTGTAAAAAGTCTCAAAGCAGTTTACAAAAGATAAAACAACAGTAACACTAGGGAAAAAAATTATAACCCTACTTTAAAATAATCAAAAGAAAAATAAAAACAGATTAAGATTACCTCAGTTTTCTAATCATCTGGGTAGACTTGTCTAAACAGGAATGTTTTTAGCAGGTGCCAAAAAGAGTACAGTGAAGGTGCCTGCTTGATCTCAATAGGCAGGGAGTTCCAAAGTGTTTGGTCGGCTTCAGAGTGAGACTTGTGTCACCTGCACTCGAGTCTTCATCTGGCCTGTTTCATAGTCCAGAGCTCCTCAGATGCTCTGAAATGTTGGAGAGAATGCTCAGGAGCAATTGTGTCAACCACCTGTTTAATCTTGCCATTCCATAGTGAGATGAGGGCTTTAGCAGGATCACCAGCTTTCTCTACTGCAATTGTCTGTCCAGACTTAACCAGATAATGGTCCGACTGTGACATGGGAATGGATTGCACTCCCCCTATCTTTGGTCCATCCCTCATATCACTACATCAAGATGACCATCTGAGAGAGAACCATGGTTGTCATGGAGGCCATGAAGTCTCCAGTTAGCCCGACAGCAGCCTCCGCATGGATATTGAAGTCACCCAGGATTATCATGTTAGGGTCCTCCAACAATATATCAGAGACTATCTTGGCCAGCCTGACCAGGGATGCTGCCAGGCAACAGAGTGATCAATAGACCAACAGCATTCCTGATCTGTCTCTCTGGTTGCAGACCCTCTAAGCCCATTCAAAGGTCAAGAGGCTTCCTGGTTAAGGGGAGGTGTACCTATAGACAGTAGTAATAGCCTCAACCCCTAGTCCAGCCTGGTGTGGTACTTATGGATGTGGCAAACAGTTGGTGATTCTAGGATTGGGTGAAACACCAAAAGCATAGTGGTGGTCTGTGGGCAGAGCACTGATGGCAAGACAGAGAGAAGCAGGACAAGGTGGAGAGCCAGTAAACACACAAGACAAGCAGACAGGGTAGAGGTGAGAAGGGTGAAAGGAGGAGGGAGTCAAATGACTTCATTTGACTATAGCTTGTTCAGACTGAAGGACAGCTATAGGGCCTGAATATAAGGGCTATGAAGTTGTTGGTTTGTTCTCCCTGGTCACCTGGCCTATAGGCTTGGCAGGAAACCAGTTTGGTCATTTGTTTTGTATAATTAGAGTGGACAGTGTGAATTAATGAATGAAATGGCTGCCTTTTTATAGCCATAAATCTGTGGTAGTTTGATGTGGTATCTAAACAACAAATACTTGTGTCACATTAGACTCTCTTTATTGGATTTGTTAATACCAAAGGTTTGATACTCAAAAACTTACTACAAACAAAGCTTTAGGTTATTTTTAATAAAACTTCAACATTATAGGCATAGTGATTCTAATGCTGCACTGCCTTAGAAATACACAAGTAATGAGGCCTGTTATAACTCATATAACATCTGTTAGAGCATCTGCTTCTTCATTAATCATTGCTTCAATTCTTTAAAAAAACCCATCTAAGCAGATAACTTTCTTTTCTTTGGTATATCTCTTAATTTTGGAAATGATTGTATTTGGAGTGTACTCTTCCAGTATGCTAGCAGGACCAGTGGTCAGGAATGCTGGGAATTGTAGTCTCCAAACATCTGGAGGGCTGAGGTTGAGGAAGCCTGGTCTGAACCAAGGCATAGGTGGAAAGGTTTAAACCATCTCTCACCTTGTGCCATACTCTTGATGAAAATTGCCTCCCACTGGTAGCTGTTAAGCTCTTAAAAGAATTGTGCACATTTAGTATCATGACTAGTTTGGCTCTATTTGTGTATTGAATACCAGCAGTGCAACTTGATTACAAGGTTGTAACAAATTATGTGCTTTATTTGCAGGACAGCTGTGCAAGAGTTTTGTTGTTACGGGGAGCTAACAAGGAGTTGAAGAACTATAATAGTCAATCTCCATTTCAGGTAAAAAAAAAGGGGGGGGGATGCAGGGCAACTTGCATATTGGTACCAATGAGAGTTGTTGACGCATTTTGTACCTGGGAAAAGAAAAATATGAATGCAGCAACCAAGTTACTGCACATACTTGTTTGCCATATTTGTATCTCATTCATCTTCAGGGAATTTATGATGGTTTATGTTGGTTATTCAACTATGTACTCATTGAATTCTGTACTCATGTAGATTAGGCTCAGGAGACTGAAGTGGCGGAACTGTGGACTGTATGACTTCACACTGCAGGTTGGAGGTTATGGGGTGTGTTCAACTAAATGGTTGTGCTAGCAGGATTGGGGAACCCTTTTGGCTCCATGGGCCAGATGCTTATCAGGCTAAATTTGTTAAGTAGGCAAGTCTGTCCAGCTGTCAGAATCCATTTATCAAATGGTACTTTGCTCCACTTCTCATATAAGTGCGTGCATGGCAGTGGGCTGTGGAGGGTGGGCTTTCCATCCCCCCTACACTTAAAGGAGAAGGCCAAGGGCTTTAATCTCAAATTAACATATGATGAACCAAGATTAAATCTGGCAATTTAGGCTGCACTGCACACTCCTATTCGCTGCTTGGAACAGGGTGGTGCAGGCAATGTAGAATTAAGCCCTGTCCTCCTGCCCAGTGATGCCAGCTGATGAGTGGGCATGGTTTGGGGAAGAAGGCCTGATGGACCAACTTGGCATCCTTAATGGGCCAATATTGGCCCATGAACTGGATGGTTCCCCACCCTTGCACTAGGAGAAACCAGCACAAGGATCTCTGCTAGTGCAACAGGTATTTTCCCTCTTCCTTCACAATGCACCCTACGCCATCCCCCAATCTATTCTGAAGGAAACCTCCAAAACAGATTTTGGGAGGTGGGTGATGGGGGGGGGAGAAGTTTCTGTTCTCAAAGAAAGTCCCTGCACTGAAGAAACCTTAGCCTTAGTGCTATGTGGAATACAACCCAATATTTTTAATGCTCACCTACATAACACATTTTCCCAGGCTGCAATCTCTTACCCGCTTAACTTGGAGTATGTACCATTGAAATCAATGTAGTCAGCTAGGGTTGAATTTTATCTGTCCCCTAGATGCTCTAGCTTACTATACTGAATGAGTTTTATTAAGTTTTCATAACAACAGTAAACAGAAAACAATAAGCAGAACCACCATCCCCTTCCACATAGACAACAAAAATAATTATAATTACAGTTACAATTACTCTCTCCCTCCCTGATTGTTTTGTTTCACTTAGCATAAAAACGGAATGCAGTATCTTCATAGGCAATTAGTGCAAATGTATAGTTTTGCATTTATTTGCCTTGTTCCAGTCACTGAGGATAGGAATGTGTTTTCAGTCCCCCATTTTTTGTAAGGGTGGGAGTCATTACTGTGGATAAAGACCCCTGTCAAGCTTACAGAACCACTCAGTTTTCCTTTTGGCCCATTTTAATTTGCACACTCAGAACTCCCCAAGCTTATAAACAAATAGTTGCTCCCTGCTTCCTTAAAAGAATTGGTGCACAGGTAATTTAAAGTTAAAAAGGTTAAAAAAAGGTAGAGGGCCCCTGGATGGTTAAGTCCAGTCAAAGGCAACTATGGGGTGTGGCATTCATCTCGCTTTTCAGGCCAAGGGGGCTGGCATTTGTCCTCAGATTTAAAGTAACTGCATTCAGAAATAACAAACCATGGTTGATTAAGAGAGAGAGCCTTGGGTTCACATGCTGCTCTGCCACTTTTACCACCCTTCATGTACCAGGTGAGAAGTTTGAAATCCTCCATTTGTTGTTTCCCCCCAAATCCTTGTTATGCCTGTATATGGGAAATTAGTTTGTGCAAACCATGGTTAGTTTATTATAATTTAAAGTACCAGGTACTTATATGCTAACTTTCATTTCAGGGCAAAGCCTTAAGCCAGCCCCAAAGCCGTTTATATAAAATACAAATTAAACATTCTAATAACAATGAATGAAAACAGCAAAAGTTTACAGCAGTTTGACACCCAACTCTCAAATTCTTTTAGATGGCATCTTTCACAACCAGGATATAAAACCACTGGTGGGGATTTGTTTGAATGTTTACACATAAAATTTGTTGTTGTTACCTCAACATTGATACAGTATTTTGCCATTGCATTTGGAAAAGAAACAATTGGCAAACAGTGGCCACTGTTGAAAAGGCAGTTATATACAGGTGAAAGGACAAGTTGTGCTTTGAAGGTGGAATTATGGCAATTTGTACTTGAATGAAAGAAGAAATTGAAACGAAGTGGAAAAATAACTGGGCCTATTAGCTTAATGACAGTTGGGCTGAGGGCAGTAATGCATTCCGATTATGTACCTCAAAGGGGCTCACACCAACACCTCATATGTTAAAAGCACATGTTATCGGGTTGTGGGGTCATGCAGGCCAGTCCTGTCCCTATCTCTTGATGTGTGTGCACTGGCTATGTCCCACTGGACATATGGTCAGCTGCTATGTGAATTGGCCCTATGTTCATTAGGCCTGGACAACATATTGATACATCGTCCAGGACCGGTATGAGGGCCAAACCACCATGGTTGCTTCACTCGGCGGTATATTGCGGGTGAAACTGCCTCTGCTGAGTCCCTCTGCCACCAGTGCTCCACCCGTCTACCTTACTAGTATCAGACCAAGCCATTATTCTGCTCCAACCAGGGAAAATAACGAAGCAACTGGCTTGAGGTGCCTTAAATAGGAAGCATCTAATCTCAGGCACCTCGTTGTTGGGTAGTTTGTTGATTTTTTTCCTAATAGGAGGCAGAGACAGCAATGAAAAGGAAGGAGTGTGAAGGGAGAAACAAGGCTGATGGATGGGTACACATATCAGCCAGTTAAGTTGAAAAGGCTGGTTTGCAGTGCTATGAACCTCTTTTTTATTATGTCTTTCTCCCTCAATTCATTGCTATCTGCTTTGTTTTGCTGACCTATTTGATACAAATTACACTATCACAAAATTACATGGGATCCTCTTGAGTTAATGGGGTTTTGCATACTAAACTGATACTCCTGTAATCAGTACATTGTAGCAGTGAACTCTATGCAACGTATCAAGTGCCCATTCATTAGCTATTATTAAATACTGCATTCAGTTTGTATCAAAACCTCTAATTTAAAATACCTTTTTTGAAAAGGAGAGAGAGAGAGAGAGAGAGAGAGAGGCCGTCTGTAGAATTTTATTCAGTGTTTCTGCGTCTGCGATAAGATCATTTTCCCTTGGTTAGCGAAAATTGGAAAATAGAACTATCCTCATAATTGAAGAAAAATACCATACTAGATAAAAAGCTTCCACTTCTTTGAAGAAGTGAGGTTATGAAAGTGGGTTTGTTCTTCCATTAGCTGTAAATAGAAGGGCATTGAAATTGCCTCCAGCCTGGAGGGAAGATGACAGACTGTTTAAAATATATATATCATAAAAATGCTGAGAATTTCCGAAGGTTTTAAGAAGGTGTGTCTCTAGAATTACAGAAGGCAGGGCACAATCTGATTCATGTCTGATTAGAACTAAGCCCTATTGAGTTCAACCTTGTATAGGACTACCAGCGATTCGCAAGGCTATGTAAAGAGTTCTTTCAAAAACTTATAACTAGATTTGCATTTTTTGCTTAGAAGTAATCCCCATTAAGGTCATTGGGATTTAATTCTGAATGGAAACACATACAGTACGTGGTACCCAGTGAAGTATTTCTACTAACTCGAGGATCTATGCTTGCTCAATGGAATGTCTCCTCCCTCTCCTCTGCCTGTGCGCCTCTGGAGGATTGGGGGAATACCCATAACAGATTTAGGGGGGCACACAAGGAGAGGGGAGGGAGGGGAAGTTTCATTGTACAGACAAAAGTCCTTGCCCTAGTAGAACTTTCTTTGCTACTGCCAGTAGTATCAAACTGCGTGAATAGGAATTATGGAACCATCGTTTTGCGTATTGTCCCCATGTTCCTTTTTAGGTCTTTGACCAATACTGTGTAATTTATAAACTGTCTGATGTTTGTGAAATTTATTTGTATCAGAAATATTAGCTCCCATATAGAACAATAGCAGGCAGTAGCTCAGAGCCTCACCATTTTCCAGGTTGTGCAAAATTTATAGGTCAGAATGCCCAGAAACTTTTCCCCAGTGTTAGTTTCTGCTGTGGAACCAAATGTCTTAAGTGTGAATTTACGCAACCACAAACAAGGAAAAGGCTCAAATCATGAGAAATATCTTTTTCCTTTGCATGATTAACTGCAGGACTCACCATACTTGCCACATCACATTATTTATGCCCTCCCACAGCCTATACATTGGGGACAGGGCATGCCTGTAGAGGAAAAGCCTGCTGAATGCACATAGGCTCTTCCTGTGATTTATAACTCCATGTGATCATGCAACAGTGAGGGTGGAACCTGCAAGCACAGCCCCAGTAATGCATATTGTATTCACGTGAGGAGGACATGACTGAATATGGCAGGGGTTCCCAAACTGCTTGTGGTCCGTGGCATGTTCATAAGAACATAAGTTAAAACCATACAGCTTCTTGCACAGCACATTACAATTGCTATGGCAAGCAGATAAAGCATTGTGTGGTCCACCAAGACCCTCAGCAATTTTCAAGTGGAGCATGGGGGATGGGGGAGTTGGGGAACAACTAGACCAGGACTTATGTAACTATACACAGAGGTGGCGTTTTAAATTTGTAGAAATCAGCCTCAGACTTTGATACTATGGAGGGATCAGCTGCACTGGATATTTCTATGATATGGAGAGTAGGTTGGTAGAGTGTACTATGTTGGGGTAAAAAAGGATGTACTGTGTTGGGGGGGAAAGGCATGTAGTAGTTCCATGTTGATGCTGACTTGCTGTAAGTTTAGTGCTCCACTGCATGGCAGCTTTGTAGTGTTGTGGTCATTGTGGGTTGATTTCTAAACAAGGCTACATCACCATATGGCCAAACCATACTGGGTTGTATACCTGCCATATCAGTCTGTATG